CCCCCCCCCCCCCCCCCCCCAAATATGAATCTGCTACTGTTGAGTTAATTAATTGATAAGTTTTTTTAGAAACAATTCAGCCAAATGGTTATTAAAATTTTATTTTTTTGGCAACCACAAGTTCTATGTGTAAACTTAACAGAAAAGAAAAGTCATGAAAATACCGAAATAAAATAAAATTTTAAGATAATTTGATGAAAATCTTTAAAAACAAAATGCATTTGATATTGAATATACCAAATAAACTTTTTTATAGTCCTCATTATTGTGACGTAAGGGGACCTTATTTTATCTGGCTTTCCCATACATTTTAAAATCAATATGAAAATCCTAGACTTAAAAGTTGAAATAAGTTTAGTTTTGTTTGACTCTTTGAAGTCAGAACATGATTTGACCTGTTAAAGTCAGTTTACAGAACAAAATTTCCAATCAAAACTAGGTCTTCTTCCTCTAAGCCCCCCCCCCCCCCCCCCCCCCCCTTTTCCCTTTATCTGAATCTGCTACTGTTTAGTTAATTAATCATGTTAACTGATAAGTTTTTTTAGAAACAATTCAGTCAAATGGTCTTTAAAATAATATTTTTTACAACCAAAAGTTCCATGTGTTAACTTAACAGAAAAGAAAAAGTCATGAAAATACAGAAATAGAATAAAATTTTAAGATAATTTGATGAAACTTGTAAACAAAATACATTTGAATATTACATATACCAAACAAACTTTTTTATAGTCCTCATTATTGTGACTTTATTATTGGGTGTCTTTTATCTGTTTTTCCCATACATTCTTAAATGCATATGACAATGCCAGACTTAGAAGTTGCAATAATTAGTTAAAGTATAGTTTTTGACTGACTCTTTGAAGTCAGAACATAATTTGACCTATTTAAAACAAAATACATTTAAATATTGAATATACCAAATAAACTTTTTTATATAATCCTCATTATTGTGACTTTAGGGGACCTTATTTCCTGTTTTTTATCTGGCTCTCCCATACATTTTTAAATCAATATGACAATACTAGACTTAAAAGTTGTAATAAGTTTAGTTTTGACTGACTCTTTGAGGTCAGAACATGATTTGACCTGTTAAAGTCAGTTTACAGAACAAAATTTCCAATCAAAGCTAGGTGTACTTCCTTTAATCCAAGAAAGTCCTTGCTTTCAGACTGCTTCTGAATCTGCCATTTTCGAGTTTATTATTTGATAAATTTTTAGAAACAATTAAGTCAAATGGTTATTTATTTTAGGGGATCTTAACATATATTTCCTGTGTCTTTTATCTGACGTTCCCATACATTCATTTAACATCATATGGCAATGCCCGGCTTAAATATTTCAATAAATTTATTTTAGTTTTGGACGGACTCTTTTATGTCAGAACATGATTTGACCTGTTTAAAACAAAATACATTTAATATTGAATATACCAAATAAACTTTTTTATAGTCCTCATTATTGTGACTTATGGGGACCTAATTTCCTCAGTCTTTTATCTGGCTTACCTATACATTTTTAAATCAATATGACAATACTAGACTTAAAAGTTGTAATACGTTTAGTAAGTCAGAACATAATGTGACCTGTTTGAGTCAGTTTGCACAACAGTATTTACCTCAATGAAATATTAAAATAATAAATGTTTTGCTCTTAATACATTTAGCTTAAAGTGGATGAGAATATATCTTTTATTAACATAGTCTTATCATGAATAAGTGTCTTGTTTTTCCTTGGAAGATTTGAAGTATTGTCATGTAATGTATTCAATATTGTATTTTGTAAAATCTTTTGATATTCAGATAAAATGCTTCGCTGGGGCGCAGCTTGATACGACCGCAGAGGTAGAACCCTGAACAGTTGGGGCAAGTATGGACACAAAATTCAAGCTTGATACAGCTATGACTTTGGATTGTCATTAAATATTTGACACAGCATAGGTTTCTGACACAGGATGAATGTGGTGTAAGAACTGGAAAAAATTTAATTTACCTATTATGGTGGAATATCCATAAACTAAATTGTTTGTTAATTTCAATATATCAAAGAATATGTAGAATTCAATGTTTGATGTAATGTAATAAAGTTGAAATTTGGACCGTTTTTGTTCAATGTGGACCAATTTGGTAACATGTATAAATAATCAAAAATCTAAATACATGGGAGCCCATTTAAATACATCATAAAGGTATTAAAATAGAAAGTGACATCATAGTCATGGCTAAAAATAAACAAAAATCCTTAATCAGCAACATTTAAAGTAATATCTAAAAATAAAATTCCTTTGTAACCATAAAAGCCCATTTAAATACATCATAAAGACATTAAAATAGAAAATGACATCATAGTCATGGCTAAACATAGCAAAAAACCCTTAATCAGCATCATTTAACAGTAATATCTAAAAATGGAAATTACATCATAAAGGTATTAAAATAGAAAATGACATCATAGTCATGGCTAAAAATAAACAAAATCCTTAATCAGCATCAGCAACATTTTATAGTAATATCTAAAAATAAATTCCTTTGTAACCATAAAAGCCCATTTAAATACATCATAACAGATATTAAAATAGAAAATGACATCATAGTCATGGCTAAACATAGCAAAAACCTTAATCAGCATCATTTAACAGTAATATCTAAAAATGAAAATTTCTTTGCAACCATAAAAGTAAAATAGAAAATGACATCATAATCATAGCTAAAAATAAACAAAAAATTTTTTATTGGCAAATTTTAAATGGAGTTTATTATACTAAAACAATAAATTTGCAACCATAAACATGATAAAACCCCATTTAAACACATCATAAAAGTATTAAATAATTCAACTACATCATAAGGCTATAAAAATAGAAAAGGACTTCATAGTCAAGGCTAAAGGTAAACAAAAAACCTTCATCAGCAAAATTTTATATTGGCAAATTTCCAATGAAGTTTATTACACTAAAATTGTTGGCAAATTTCCAATGCATTTATTAACAATAAAGTTATTGGCAAATTTCCAATTTACATAATTTAAAAGCAGTGTAGATGAGATATTTAAATGAGTTTGAATTACCAACCTTACACTGCTTTTAAATAATGTTCTTTACTCAATTATTTGTCTATTAAAATGGAAACCCTTGTTTTTTAACCTTTTTTCCCCTTATTCCTTAAACATTAGAGCCATAACCCCCCCCCCCCCCCCCCCCCCCCCAAAGCCAATTATTACTTTCCAATGTAACCTAAATTTCCAATATACATAATTTTAAATTTCAATTCCTCATGATATATAACCGTATCATTATTATTTTCTTTCATATATAAATCTGAAACAACCATCTTTAAATGGAAAATTTTAAAGAAAAAAAAAGGAAAAAAAAAATCCTACCTCCCACACATTTTTTCACCCCCCTTTTGATTCATCATCCCCCACCTCAATCACAACCTTCAATTTGTGGTATGGTACATTGCAATACAATTTCACAGAGATCCATACACTTGAACACAAGTTTTTGTTGCAAACTAAAAAAATCCTTATTTTTGACCAATATTTGGCCCCTTATTCATAAATGTTTGAGCAATTAACCCCAAAACTCAATTCCTACTTTCTCTTCGTGATAAAAAATAACTAACTTAAAATGTAAATTTTAAACAAAAAAAAAAAGGAAAAAAAAAAATTACCCCTTTTTTGACCCCCGCCCCCTTATTATTCATCACCCCCACCCCCCTTTCCCCCCAAACAAAGCTCAATAACAGCCTTGCCTTTGTGGTATGGTACCTTGTAATACAATTTTAGAGAGATCCATACACTTGAACACAAGTTATTGTCTAGAAACTAAAAAATGCTTATTTTAAACCCCTTTTTAGGCCCCTTATTACTAAACGTTTTGGGCATTTACCACAACACTCAATTCCAGCTTTCCCTTTGTGAAATGGAACCTTGTAGTAAAATTTCAGAAAGATCCATACACTTACACACAAGTTATTGTCATAAAACTAGAAAAATGCTTGTTTTTTGCCCCCTTTTGGCCCCTTATTCCTAAAATTTTGAGGCAATTAACCCCAAAATCAATCCCAGCATTGACCCTTTGTGATATGGAATCTTGTGGTACAATGTCAAAGAGATCCATATGCTAACACACAAGTTATGTCTGGAAGTTACAAAAATGCTTATTTTCGGCCCCTTTTTGGCCCCTAATTCCTTAACTGTTGGTACCATAACCCCCAAAATCAATCCCCACCTTCCTATTGTGGTATTGAACCTTATGGTAAAATTTCATAGAGATCCATTCACTTAAACTAAAGTTAGAGTGCGAAAACCATTGTGTATTCGGACGACGACGACGACGCCAACGTCATACCAATATACGACCTCAAAATTTTTTTGCGGTCGTATAAAAATTGTATGATCCATTTTTTCTCACCTGGTTTTTCTTTGTATTTTGAAATAATTGAAAGTGATGAGATAAATATATTATGTTTAGATTCTGGAAAGGAGAAGGTATGATGTCAGATGAGCCCCACTTTTTAAAACTCTTTAATTCGAAACTAGTAATCACCATATTTTTATGGAGATTGATAACAAAGTGGTAGTAATGACTGCTTCAAATCAGAACAAAAATGACCTCTCGAAGTCAAAATGCATTAAAAAGGGGCATAAATCTTATTAGAATATGAAGATATTAAGTCACAATATTTTGTGCAAAATCTGACCTGTGAAAGTCATTTTATGATAAATTAAAGTCTGACATAAACTGACCTGTACAGGTCATATTCTGTTGAGTGCAAGAAGGGAGACAACACTTACATCAAATTATATCTGACCTATGGAAGTCATTTTATTCTGACTTGTTTATGTCAGAGCTCTGACTGATGACACATGTTTCTGGAATAAATTTTTCTTATTTAAAAAATGATCACATATTGGTATGTACCCTTTGTTATATGACTGAAAAATGTACATGTATAAATAATGAATTCAACAGTAACTATTTATTGTTCGTTTATTAATAGAATAATCAGGAAGCACTTCATAACATGGCTACTGACACCATTAGAAAGTTATACGAGAGTCAACAGGAAATGCTAGGCCATCATCAGCAGTTACAGATTACACAAGAGGGAGTAATGACACAGATAACAGACAACATGGCATCACTTAAAACAGAAAAAGCTTTGATTGCTGCTGGAAATAAGGAACTGGCAGATCAGACTCACAATATAAAGAACAAATTAGGTTATTGTTATGCCCCATCTATGATAGAAGGGGGGTTAGGTTTTCTGGTCGGTCTGTCTGTCTGTCTGTTAATCTGTCCAGGTTAAAGCTTTGGTTACAAGTAGTTTACCATAAAGTTGTGGTCACATCAACTTGAAACTTAGCACTCATGTTCCTTATGATGTGAAGTCTTAAATGAAACGTCAAACTGGATTTTGACCTTAATATCACAGTTCGCTGATCAGGGCTGATCTTGTTTCAATATATAAAACATTTTACTCAGCAAATAATGCATAATAAAGAATAAACAAAAACAATTTAACAGTACAACCTACCACACCAACTCCTCTAATAACTTTAACAAAAATACACAATGAGAAACAACACATGGTTCAGATAGCCTGACTCGGTGCAGGCTCAAAATACTAGGTAAAACCATATTTACTTGTGCACAAACCTCTTGCTTTGACTCTCTAGACCATATTTACTTGTGCACAAACCTCTTGCTTTGACTCTCTAGACCATCATAACCATATTTGGTAAAGGTAAAAAACACAATATAAGACTCAGTCCAGCATCCAACACCATAACATTAACAAGGAACTAAAAGATTCTACAAAATTTGTATTTTATGGAAAAAATGTACTTCTACGTAAGTAAAAATATCCACAGCTGCTGGTCTAATATTGCCACTTAAGAAAACAAAGTTTACATTAGAAAACATTTACCTGATCCAACTGCAACTAGGGGGTTGTTTAACTACCTTGACTACCCATGAGGGCTTTCAAATTTTTGGGTATTATAATAATATGGCAAATAATATAATTTTGAGAGACAAAAATATAACATACATGTAATTATTGTAAAACAAGAAAAAAGAATAAAGTAAACAATAATTTGATAAAAAATAAATGAATAAATAAATTGATGTATAATAGTTGATAGATTAATTATTTGAAATAATTAATAAATAGAACTTAAGTAGATAAAAATAAAAAAAAAAAAAATTTAAAAAGAACAACAAATAAAATATGTGCCACCAAAAGCCGGAACAGGAGAAAAGGCTAAACAAACGACAAAGAGCATCATTGGCGCTGTTATAGTACACCAGCAGCCAAGTAAAGAGTCCCATCTTGTTCAACTGAAAAATAATAGTTGCTTTTTATTTTTAAAAACAACATGTCAATGCTTTCATAAGAAAAATAATCATACAGATACAAGGAATTTTTTCTTTTCTTTGGAGTAAATCATCTTGAACAAAAGAAAGCTACTCACTCTTGTTGTTATCATGAAAGACTGCTGTCTTATGATTATTTTTGTATTTAACTGTGAAAACTTCAAACAATGTTTTGTTGTTGATTAGTAAGAATTATTGACATGCTATATAATTAGAAAATTAGATCGGTGAAATTTCAGAAAACTAATTATCTGCTTATCTATAATTAAAACCATTATATATAATTTAAAAGCAAGAGTAGTAGATAAAAATTGGTGATGTTTTTGTTTCAGAGGATGCCATGAAAACATTACAGAGTCAGAATCAAGAACAAAAGTCGAACCATGAAATTATCATACAAGATCTAATGAACATACAGATGAAGGCCCAAGATACAATAGATAAACTTGGTAAGGTTCATTCATTATTTGATGTTATGTCAAGTAAGTTTATGATGAAATTTAAGACCATTTTGGTATGAGACTCATTTAGTTTAAAACAAAAAATTTGTACCTGACATTTGTGTAAGTGGACAGCTTTCGTTTTATTGTCAAGAAATTTTCAGAAAAAATATTTTGGACTGTTTTCTTTACCAAATTGATATTTAAAATTGACTTCCCTGGTTCCCATGTATGCTTTTATGGAACAATCTTCAGATAAAGTTTGTTTGATAAGTTGTCATCTTATGTGAATATATTTAACACTGTGTGAATGAAAGCTTGTCATAAAATATAGACACTTTTCATTTGTTTAAGATGATATTGTGACCATTAGATGTCTGTTTTGGTTAGGGCAAAAGTTAACATAATTGAGAGGTAGTTCAGATTTAATGGTATTTTATTTGCATGTAGAACATGTACTATGTTGAACTGCATCAGAATATAAAAAATAAGATATCTAGCATTTTTCAATTTTAGAGATACTGTTATCATGATTATATCTTTTTATGCATACATGATTTAAAATAATTTCTAAAATACATGTACCACTAGGCATGCTTAAATTACCATAAATTCAGAAAATATTGGGATGTTTCAATTATTGGGTAAAATGTCACCTACTGACAATCACAATAATTAAACATCAAATTTTTACTATAATTTTCCCTGATCAGTTTGTGATTGATTTGCCTCCCTTTAACCACAGGTGTGATAGGCTTGTCAACTTTAAACTGGGTACCTGAAAGGGCTGAATTTTTTTTACAACTTGTGTAAATTCAGAAATTTTTAAGATGATTTTGCAGGACTTCTTCCTAGACTTATTAGTCACATGAATCAATAGTTCAAACAAGTTTCTAGATATCCAAAGTTGACATGAAATATTAATCATTGACATTACAGGTGTGTACCCGTATGTCCTTTCTTGGAACCCATTACAAGACAAGACAAATACTTTATTAAAGTCTCACCACTTGTTACTATACCATTATATAAAAATAATTTTCGCAAACCATTTAGGTCACGGAAATTCCATTTTTTGCCATCAGTAAGGAGAGTTGTACAAATAATGTGAGTTCACAGAACCCCGATCCAATTCATCTTTTGCTAAAAATATTTATCATTTTCTGTTTTGTATCTCCTAACATCATTCCATTTTTCTCTAATTTCGATTAAAATATGGCAAAACATGCAGTAAAAATAGATGTATGCCCCAAATAAACATTTCCCGATTGGTTGAACTACTAAGTTGTCGATGTAAAGCAACGCAAGCCTCGATGTAAAGCACACACTTTAAAAGAGTAAGGAGAGTTGTACAAATAATGTGAATACACAGACCCCCAATCCAATTTATCTTTTGCTAAAAGTGTTCATCATTTTCTGTTTTGTATCTACCAACAACATTCCATTTTTCTATAATCCCGATTTAAACATGTCAAAACCTGCAGTAAAAATAGATGTATGCCCCAAGTAAACATTCCCCGATTGGTTGAAAAGCTTTGGCCTTGATCTAAAGCAACGCAAGCACACGCAAAAATTTCCGTTGATATGTTGAACTTTGACCTCGGGATTCAGCCGATTCACAAAGAGATTTTCTTGTGCTCAAATGTAATTTTAAGTGAAATATACTGGTTACATATAAAATATACTGCAGATTAAAACACAAGTTAACAAGAACCACTCTATAAAGAATTATGAGAGACTATAAAACAATTTTTCTTAAATTATAATACAAATACAAGTCAACTATCATGAGTATAAAATATATTTTCGCTTTATTAAAATTTCATTGCAGATTTTGGCAGCATAAAATACCATATTTTCATTTGTTAAAAGAAATATCAATTTTTCATTATCAGATGTATGTAAAAAATTCTCATCAACAATACTAGCATGATTAAAAATAACATTATGAATATCTGAATATACAGGACAGTTTAACAAAACATGTTTCTCATCTTCAACGTCATCAGTACAGTTAAAACATACTCTATTTTCAATATCAATATTTTCAAAACGACCAGTTTCAATTCTGATCTAAATTTGGCTAAAGCACTCCTGTATCTACCAGGTATATCAAAATTCAAATAATTTTCTACACCATATACATTTTTGAATATTCTATATGTACGTAATTTATTTTTATCATTTGACTTCAATTTTGTCATACCATTCTTTCTTAAATTTTTCAAAAGATATATTTTCGACATTCTTAATCAAATCCTATGAGAAACCAATCATTTACAGATGGATCGCATAACTAAAACCTCACATTTTTGCAAGGGATCCTTCAAAACATTAATTAGTACAAGCAGTAATTTCTGAATTTACAATAAATCTGGTGTTGTTGAGTTGCAGTCCCGCTGATGTTTTATCCGCATCTCCTTTTATTGATGAGAGCCGTATTCAGACTTTTCATTAAATTTTCCAATAAGTGGAACAAATTATTTAAAAAACAATGTGAACAATATCTTCCATGAGTGATAAGAATCCTATTTGGTAATTGATGAAAACATTGTTAAGGGCTAAGGTTTTGAGATGATTTTTTTTTTCAGACAAAAGTACTCAGCATCTTTTACAAAACCACCAGGATCTGAAGAAACAGTATGTAGTCATGCATGAAAAGATGGTAAAAATTAATTCAACCGTTACTGATTTGATGGAATCTATAAATAACATGCAGGAAAAGTTAGATAAAAAGATTTCTTGGTTTTCTCATTTACTAGGAACTACAGGTAAGTTTCTACTTATCTCTTGATCCAGAAGTCACATTCTTTGGTAGAGCTTGATATGGTATATTTTTTTGCATTAAGTTTCAAAAAATAATGTAGGCATACAAATTCATGAAAAATCAGTAATTGTTTATAGATAATTTTTGTCGAGCCTGCGACTTTTGTCGCAGAAAGCTCGACATAGGGATAGCGATCCGGCGGCGGCGGCTACGGCGGCGGCGGCGGCGTTAGCTAACTTCTTAAAAGCTTTATATTTTAGAAGGTGGAAGGTCTGGATGCTTCATACTTTGTATATGGATGCCTCATGTTAGTAAGTTTCCGTCAGTCACATGTCCAATGTCCTTGACCTCATTTTCATGGTTCAGTGACTACTTGAAAAAAAAGTTAAGATTTTTTGTAATGTTAGATTCTCTCTTATTATAAGTAATAAGATAACTATATTTGGTATGTGCGTACCTTGCAAGGTCCTCATGCCCGTCAGACAGTTTTCACTTGACCTCGACCTCATTTCATGGATCAGTGAACAAGGTTAAGTTTTGGTGGTCAAGTCCATATCTCAGATAATATAAGCAATAGGTCTAGTATATTCGGTGTATGGAAGGACTGTAAGGTGTACATGTCCAACTGGCAGGTGTCATCTGACCTTGGCCTCATTTTCATGGTTCAGTGGTTATAGTTATGTTTTTGTGTTTTGGTCTGTATTTCTTATACTGTATGCCATAGGTCTACTATATTTGGTGTATGGAATGATTGTAAGGTGTACATGTCTAGCGGGCAGGTGTCATCTGACCTTGACCTCATTTTCATGGTTCAGTGGTCAAAGTTAAGTTTTTGAGTTTTGGTCTTTTTTTCTAATACTATGTGCAATAGTTCAACTATATTTGGTATGTGCGTACCTTGCAAGGTCCTCATGCCCGTCAGACAGTTTTCACTTGACCTCGACCTCATTTCATGGATCAGTGAACAAGGTTAAGTTTTGGTGGTCAAGTCCATATCTCAGATACTATAAGCAATAGGTCTAGTATATTCGGTGTATGGAAGGACTGTAAGGTGTACATGTCCAACTGGCAGGTGTCATCTGACCTTGACCTCATTTTCATGGTTCAGTGGTTATAGTTAAGTTTTTGTGTTTTGGTCTGTTTTTCTTATACTGTATGCCATAGGTCTACTATATTTGGTGTATGGAATGATTGTAAGGTGTACATGTCTAGCGGGCAGGTGTCATCTGACCTTGACCTTATTTTCATGGTTCAGTGGTCAAAATTAAGTTTTTGAGTTTTGGTCTTTTTTTCTAATACTATGTGCAATAGTTCAACTATATTTGGTATGTGCGTACCTTGCAAGGTCCTCATGCCCGTCAGACAGTTTTCACTTGACCTCGACCTCATTTCATGGATCAATGAACAAGGTTAAGTTTTGGTGGTCAAGTCCATATCTCAGATACTATAAGCAATAGGTCTAGTATATTCGGTGTATGGAAGGACTGTAAGGTGTACATGTCCAACTGGCAGGTGTCATCTGACCTTGACCTCATTTTCATGGTTCAGTGGTTATAGTTAAGTTTTTGTGTTTTGGTCTGTTTTTCTTATACTGTATGCCATAGGTCTACTATATTTGGTGTATGGAATGATTGTAAGGTGTACATGTCTAGCGGGCAGGTGTCATCTGACCTTGACCTTATTTTCATGGTTCAGTGGTCAAAATTAAGTTTTTGAGTTTTGGTCTTTTTTTCTAATACTATGTGCAATAGTTCAACTATATTTGGTATGTGCGTACCTTGCAAGGTCCTCATGCCCTTCAGACAGTTTTCACTTGACCTCGACCTCATTTCATGGATCAATGAACAAGGTTAAGTTTTGGTGGTCAAGTCCATATCTCAGATACTATAAGCAATAGGTCTAGTATATTTGGTGTATGGAAGGACTGTAAGGTGTACATGTCCAACTGGCAGGTGTCATCTGACCTTGACCTCATTTTCATGGTTCAGTGGTTATAGTTAAGTTTTTGTGTTTTGGTCTGTTTTTCTTATACTATATGCAATAGTTCAACTATATTTGGTGTATGGAAATATTTTATGATCTATTTGGCAGTCACGCAGGTTTTATTTGACCTTGACCTCATTTTCAAGGTTCATTGCTCAGTGTTAAGTTTTTGTGTTTTGGTCTGTTTTTCTTAAACTATAAGCAATAGGTCAACTCTATTTGTTGTATGGAAGAATTGTTAGCTGTACATGCCTGCCTAGCATGGTTCATCTGACCTTGACCTCATTTTCATGGTTCATTGGTCAATGTTTAGTTTACTTGGTTAATGTTAAGTTTATGTGACAGTTGTAATAAAGCTTTATATTTAGGACTATCAACATAATATCAATGATTAGTAAAGAAGGCGAGACATTTCAGCGTGTGCACTCTTGTTCAAATAGTGTATATTTCACAAGCCTTCACATTTAACATGCATTTGAATGTATGGAAAAGAAATAGACAAACAATGACAATATCCGAGAATTCGTATAAACAAACCATAAAGAAAACATTGATCTTATTATAAAAATAAGAAGATATGGTATGATTGCCAATGAGACAACTCTCCACTGGAGACCAAATGATATAAAAGTTAACAACTATACGTCATTGTACTGACTTCAACAATGAGCAAAACACATACCACACAGTCCGGTATAAAACGCCCCAAAATGACAAATATAAAACATATCAAATAAAAAAACTAACGGTCTGATGTATGTACAAAACAATGAAGGAAAAACAAATGTTTTATTAAAAAATTATATTTTACAATGGTAAAACAAAGAAGTAGGGACCTGTTAAATTTAGACTATTTAAGGCTTTGCTTGATTTAGAGCTTGACAAAGACAAAGGTCGATTGATGATATAAATTGTAAATGGTATATATGGAAGATATATGTTGACCTCAAGATGTGTTATTGATTTAATTGTAGTTTTGAATAACTGACCCATTTGAGTATATCACACATCACCCTTTTATTCATGTATTATATAGATATAAGAAGATGTGGTATGAGTGCCAATGAGACAACTCTCCATCCAAGTCAAAATTTATAAAAGTTAACCATTAAAGTTCAAAGTACGGTCTTCAACACAGAGCCTTGGCTCACACCGAACAGCAAGCTATAAAGGGCCCCAAAAATGACTAGTGTAAAACCATTCAAACAGGAAAACCAATGGTCTAATCTATATAAAAAACAAGAAACACTTATGAACCACATCAACAAACGACAACTACTGAACATCAGATTCCTGACTTAGGACAGGTGCAAACAATTGCAGCGGGTTTTAACGTTTTAATGGTACCAAACCTTCACCCTTTTTCCTGAAACAATAGTGTAACATCACAACATAGAAAGACACACTATAAAATATCAACTGAAATGGCATAACTCAAAGGACATATTAACACCAGTGAACATACACTGAACAAATAAATTTGACCTATGATACAATGTAAATACAAAATAAAATAAATAAATAGCCTTATATGCTCTTATACAACATCTTCCATGTTGATACAAGAAAAATGATGTGTTTAACAGCTTTTTTTATGATCAAGAATTTTGTTACCCAAACATGTTATTCAACACTATAACCCAACATCTTATAACTGATTTTTTGGTCATCTATACTATCAAAATATATTTATATGTTGACCAGAGTGACTTTGATTTAGAAATTTTTTCACTTAACCTGCATAGTTGCCAACTGACATGATATTTGCGTGTAATACACGCTTTTTCAACGGTTCACACGCGAGGATTTTGTCACATGGCGTGTACACGCTTTTAATCACTTTACACGCAATTACACGCTTTTTAGTTGTTTTGATTTTTTGGTTGTTAGTGATATCACGATTCTCGGGTTTTTCCTTATTAGACGATAAATACCGAAAATTTTGAAGTAATTGTTTGGTCACCATTGTTTATTTTTCTATATGGACGAACAGCAAAAAGCACTTAAGGTAAGTAGTTTGTGATTAGTTTTTACGATTTTGTGACTTTCTTTCTTTCAAATTCACGTAGGGGAAATCATAGGCGGATCCAGGGGGGCCCGGGCCCTCCCTTTCGTGGGAAAAATTTGGTTGATTATATAGGGAATCACTGAAGCATGACTGGAGCGGGGCCCCCCCTTATGAAAAGTTCTGGATCAGCCACTGGAAATGTCCACAGAAGGAGGTTGCTTTCAGGACCTGTACCGTCGTCTAAAGAGCGGATTGTTATGTGAAAACGATGTGTAAGCCTAAGATTCAAGATTTATAAATTATATTTGGGAGTTCGAGTTTAAATGATCGAGGGACAAGTAACGCATTGTGCACCCTATGTTGCAATCATAACAATACATGTGAGAGGAGAACTACAATGTAGCTATTTGATTAAGCATTTAACGTGTTTAATGGTAATTGAATAATAAAATATTTTTCAGTTTCAGTTTCAAATCTAGCCAACAGATTTACACAGGCCATAGGGGATGGAAATATCACGGAACTGTTGGATAAGTTCTCATAGTACCAGCTGTCTTCTGATGAACTACCTAGTTTTGACCAGGCAATAGCAACATATATAGTTTGTTGGGAGTAATGGCAGCGATAATAGATGACATTTTAGATGGCAAAAAAGCGTTATGACACTCTTTCAAAGCTTGATAAAGCTATTTTAGTTCAGCCAATATAAATTCAGACTGTGAGAGAGCATTTTCAATTATAAAGAAATCACACTGAATTCTGATCAGAACTTGACAATGATATATTGAATGCCTTGTTATCAAGTAATTGTAACCAAACTGGCAGTTGTTTTGAATTTGTTCTTAGTGGTGTTGCTTTAAAAGCAGCAAAACAGACCACTGTTCAATACAATAAAAGTTTACATTAGAATATTGTTTTTTATATTAACAAATTTGTATAATGTGAAATTATGTACATTGTTCATATTAAAAAGTCCGCATCTACGTCGCGTGTTTTCACACGCTTTTTGACATGACATGATTTCTCATTGTCAGGGGTTGGCAAGTATGTTAACCTGTATACTAAACTTAGGTTTCATTTCCTGCAGACAAGTTGACCTTTAGTTATATTTAGTTTTACTGTTGATTACTTTTTTTGTTTTGATTCTCTCAAATGTTTCATGTGTTTGGTTTTCTGAGCACCAGGCTCATTTGTACCTGATTATTCTAAAAATACATCAAATATTTGTCATATATACTGAAATTCTTATCATACTTTCATATTTGGACAACGCAATCCTCTTCTACAGTTCCATTGATATTGACATTCATATATTTTTTTCCAGAGGAAAAGATAACAACAGTATTGATGTTTGGACAACATATAGTATTCCTCATGCTGATTATGTTCCTTACAGCCTACCTACAGGTTCCTCCAATGTCTCGTGTTCTCATTCTAGTTGTCACCTTCTTTAACTCAGCTATTGAGATCCAGTCTGGAAAAGGAGCAGGATTTATCAGAATGGCAGGAGTTGACTTCTCTATAATCATGGGTAAGGCCACAATGAAAGTATATAATAGGTTAGGATCCTAGCTGCAGAACATTTGTTTAATAGAGCAATATTAGAGCCCTTTTAAGCTCACCTGGCCCAAAGGGCAAAGTGAGTTTTTCTCATCGCTTGTCATCCATAGGCGTCCGTTAACTTTTACAAAAATCATCTCCTCTGAAACTACTTGGCCACCATGATCATGGGGTAATCTTGTTTAAAAAAATATGTCAAATGACCCTGCCTGCCAACCAATATGGCCGACATGGCTTAAAAAAGACCATAAGGGGTGAAATGCAATGTTTGCCTATTATCTTGAAAACTGTTAATGATAGAGAAAATCTGACTCGGGCAAAAATGTTCAAAATGATCAGATCTACCTAAAGTCTGTAGACATCAAAACTATCAAATGATTTCTTACAGGTGTTATTGCCTTTAAAATTAATTTTACCATTTTTACCCAGGGCTTCCAAAATTTTTTTTTAGCCAGCCGGACATTTTATATATTATCCCGATTTTAATCCCTTAAGACTAAATAAACAAAAAGCAATTATGGTAATCAGTTGCCGAGTTGGACATTCCAATGATTGACATTAAAAAAAAACGATATTAAACTTTCTTTGATTCAAATTCGAAGTTCTGACGTAAACTGTTAAATTGGCAGTGCATCATTCGAAGTGTGCAACATCAGCGTACTTATATCTGCCTTAGACTCTTTATTTGTGCAAAATAACGTTGTCAAAAACTTTACTTTCATTTTTAAACCGGATGTTATCTTGACAATGGTAAAACATGGACCAGAGACGGATACGTAAATTCCGTGTACGTTTGCAAAGCATGAATGAGTGTAAGTAGCTCTTTCTACGTTATTTCTTCAAGAAAATATTCGAAAAAACGTGAGATTAAGGTATCAATGACAATTTAAGCATTTTTTGAAGAAATTAGGCTGCATAATTAAATTTCACACCTGCGCACATGCGCACACGTGTACTAGTTCAAACATGTCTCTGGTTCAAACAACGTGGTTATGACGATTTTTCATTTTCACCTTTTTAATTTTTTCATCAAATCATATTTGTAAACGTATTTCTGATAATTTAAATCTTTTTGACTAAATTAATTAGATGCAAACCGCTGAAATGTAAGAAAATAACTTTGAATAGACCGATCAATGTCCGGTTCAAAATAGTTTACCTGTCACCTGAACAGGTAAATTTCAGCTGTTCGACAACTAGTTAGCCTTGATTAAGATGAGAAGGCATTAAAGTAGGGGTTGTTTTGATAGTACTTAATGATCATGTCACTTTTATGACCGGAAATGTGTGGCTGTTAAAGGCAAAAGGTTGGGTCGAAAAGATCGTGAATTATGTTAAAATGACCGTCTTTTAAGAAAGCCTTGAAAACTAAAAAGTAGATGTCCGTTTCATGCTTTGCCCAGCCGGACTTTTACCGGACATTATACAAATGTCCAGAATATATGACCGTTTTGGAAGCCTTGTTTTTACCCATTATCTCAAAAATTGTAATAGATAGAAAGAAGCTTTAAATTATAAAAATTATCAGCGAGACGAGATCTACAAATAAGTAAACATGATTGAAATTGTTGGTCAGCACCTTATTGAAGTTATTGCCCTGTAATGACAATTTTTCATGTTTTTTGCTTATGATCTTGAAAACTATAATAGATAGAAAGAAATTTAAAGAGCAAAAATGATCAGCAAGACAAATTCTACAAATAAGTCAGTACAGCCCAAGTCGTTGGCCGACTCTTTATTAAAGTTATTGCACTTTAGTAACGATTTTTCATGTTTGCCTATTATCTTGAAAACTATAATAGATAGACTGAAACTTTAAAAAGCAGAAATGATCACTAAGACAAGATCTACTAATAAGCCATCATGGTTAAAATCTTCAGTTGACTCTTTATTGGATTTATTGCCCTTTAAATGTCAGATGATTTTTACCATTTTTGGGGCATTTTTTGCCTATTATGTTGAAAACTATAATGCATAGATAGAAACTTTAAAAAAGAAATATGGTCAGCAGGATAAGATCTACAAATATCCAACATGGCTGAAATTGTCAGTTAACTCTTAATACTGTTATTTCCATTTAATGATGATTTTTACAAAAAAATGGCTATTGTTGAAGATGCAGGAGAGCAACACAAGAGCCTCTAGTATTTGGATAAGTAAATATAACTTTAACATTTAAGGTTAATGATTGGACAGCTTATGAAATCAAGCAGACAATTTGTTAGTTATAATATTATTTAATTTATTTAATGAGTTCTTGCAGTTTCAGTGATCGGGAAGGACGTGCGCCTTGCGCCAATTGCGCTTATCGACCAGAAATGGCGCATAGAGTGACAATTGTAAGTGCCCGCGTGGCGCATGATATTTTTCACTTCGTTTTGAAACGTTGAGATATCGTCAAATAGATTTCTGATAGTATTTCGTGCCGCCATGTGTGAGTACACAACTGTGTAGTGTTTACTCCAATGATAGGAGCACCTATATATTTTTGGGACGTCTCGGGTGTTTTCCTATGGAAATAATAGCAACATGCGGTATGACTGATTACCCCAAAAACGTAATTAACCATCATTCATGATATAATTTTTTATAAACAACTTTAAATTTGTGAAAATTGGCTAGTACAGGCAAGAATTCTTCTCTTATTATAATCTTTTAAGTAAGCTTACTATTATTTCGATTGAAAAACCCAAAAGCCTTTTTATGAATAGCATATTATTTGTCTCCATAAAAGGGGCTTAACTGTCCTTGTCTTTTTTTTTTCGGTCTTTGGCGCGTTTTGACATTTTGTAAACATGCCTTCTGCGAATTGTTGTTGTGTCTTATCAATTAACGTTGCTCTCTACTGTTATTCTTGTCATCGTGATGAAGTAATAATAATACAAGTGCAGAGAAAATGCCAGAAACTTCCTCTAATACAGAACGTCTGGAATAAGTATGGTATCGACGTAGACCCAAATTTAATGTAAAAAAAAAACATGAACATGAACAAGGGAACAGTACCAGTTTTAACATTGTAAATAAAGGTTATCGTAAATATTGCCCGGTTTGGAAGAAGTTATTGTATTTTCATTGAAATTGAAATTACAAAATCACAGGAACAATATTCATGATATTAATTAGAATCATACTTGTAAGTACAGTGAAATATACCCTTTTTTTATTTTTTGTTTTTATTGTAAACGAATGGCCCACTCATTTGACAACATGGCCCATTAATTCTAAAAATGGCCCATTGAATTTATTTTTGGGGGGTCCTGGGCCCATAGAGAAAATATCCTTCCAGATCACTGAGTTTATTTTAAGGGTATCAACTCTTCAATAGATTTTACCGACACTTGTTCGTTCTTGATCCATATTACAATTCATTTGAGATACTTGTAAATTAAATATTTATTGAAAGCAGTGAACTTCTGTCTTCTTTCCTACAGATTAAGTAACACTATCATTGACTTTTACAGCAAATGGTTTATACTATATTTGGAAATCCAAAGGTAATATACAGAAGGCTCCTCTAAGACTTACAGGAACTGATGGTGATGCTACTCAACCAGTCACACATGAAGAGTTACAGAACTTGACAAATATAGTTGGAAGACTACAGTTTTCCTGTGAGTAGTCATTTTATAATTTAACCATGATTTATACTTTTTGATTTTACAGGAAAGTCTGTGTTAAATAAAAAGCCAAAAATCAAATGTTGATGTTCATGATAGAGGTTATTTTGTCTGTTACTAAATGATTGACTTATTGATGCTTTCAGTTTAAAGCAGTTAAATAATAAATAAAAATATGAAATTGAAACAATTTTGCTTGCTGTGCTTCATACTTGTTTGTTTTACAGTAAATGAGAGTGGTATAGGAAATGATGCAAGTGTTAGAACAACACCTAATGTAACACAGATAGAAACACAGGCTAGACCAGACTCTTCTACAATGGTGAGATATCATACAATGATTTGCAATGTATTATGTCCCTGAAGGAAGTTTTGATTGGAATACAAATGTGGCATCATCATTTCTTCTATCCTTGAAAAATGGTATATTTGCTTGACAATCATAGTAGACACCAAGTTTTTAGACAAAGATGCAGTCTTTGAAATAGTTATCATTATTGCTATTTTTTAAAATTTTCCTTTGATCTTACTGACTGAAAATTTCCTTTCTAAGCATAGTAGAGTCAGATGGGAGATAAGCGCTAGAAACTAAGGACACACTTGCCATTGTCAATGTAAACATCAATTATGTCATAGGAAAAATAAAGATAAACAGATTATCATAGGTCATCTTCAATCGCTTGCTTTTCTTGCTTCAGCCATGCCGGCTCAAGAAAGAAAATCAATCTTGCGAAGATAACCAATAATAATCATAGAGGAATTATCTTACTTTTTTGTTTTAAAAAGTCTTTTTGATAGTTTTAGTGACGGATGCTTTTGATTTGAAATATCTTATTGTGACACATCCCCAATTAGAACTTATCATATTACATTATCATATATAGTCGTCTGGGATCTGATTGTATATATCTGTTACAGATCAACAAGATATGAAATTAAAAAATCAGTGAACAGAAAGCTTATTGATTAATGAAGTAAATATTGTAAGCTGAGCTGGTCCTGCAGTATCAGTATTTCACTGGGAAATGCTTTCTTTTGGCCCTTCCCCCTTACAATTAGTGGTAGACAAAGTTTATACATATATAAGTAGAAGTTTAGAGCCAAATGTGTTCACCATTTTTTTTAAATCATTTTAGCCTGAGGACGTTGACAGAGTACATAGATTTGTATTGAATAGTTCCATGGAAAGATTTTCTACACATTCCAGGGAGGGTACACCTGTTTTCTCTAGGACCAGTACACCACAGCCTTCAACATCAATCAACTACAGGAATGTCAGGTAGTCATATGTACATGGGTATCAATTTCTGAAGTATTATTTGATATAGAATTAGGGAATGTGGTTTTATTTTCAATTAAACAACTCTCCAATTACATTCCATATTAATGGTAGCTTTTGTTCTTATATATGTATATCAGTTATTTTATTCTAGGGGTTCAACACCTAGCAGCAGTATGAGTTCTCGTTGCAATGGCCTGACACGTAGTGGGACCCCATGTAGACTGAGTTCTGTCAGAGGTCAATCATACTGCAGAAATCATACAGATCAAGGTTAACCTACAACAGTTCACCAGTTAATACAGCCATGCCTGGAAACAGTGAGAAATTGATAAAAATATGCATTGAAAAATCGAATTGTAAAAAGTTACGGACTTTTATCTACTGTCAACATTTTTTTGGCATGTTTGAAAAATCAAAAGAGCTCAAAAAGATGCAGATCTCTTATTTATTCACTTCATATTAAAAGATGTCTTCTCTAGAAATAATTGTATAAGAGAGTGGGACAGAAGGCTATTTAAAAAAAATGGTTAGTGTTTGTTGATTCTTAGAACCAACTTTAAGAAACAATAAAAATATCGTTTGATTTATGAATAGAGTTGTTGAAATAAAAAGAGTCTTAGAAGGTATAGAACCACTAATTCAGGCCCGGTCGGAAAGAACATACAAGAAAGTAGTACATATTTTAAACAAAATAGTTCCTACGCATAGCTGTATCTTTGTCAATAGTGGGAATATTTGGGTAGTTTTAGTATCAAATGAAAGCTTGGGGACTTGGGGTCACTGTAGAACCCTTGTTGAAAGTTTTATTTGAATAATAAAGAAGTATGGGAAATTTTAATAGGAGGACTCATTTGGCCTGTTGTTCAGATCAGAAGTTCCTGTTTTTGTACTATCAAACTTCCGGGAACCAGTACGCTCTAATATGCAATTAAAGGTATGTTGATTTTTTCAGCACAAGTCAGCATAAGGTACAGTTTTGACATGAAATAACTGCCACTTTATTTGAACTTAAGATAAAGTAGCCATTTATGCTTGAAATTGCAGAATTTAACATAGAAAGCAATGGGGCTATAAATTAGTGGTTTTAGACCTATTACTGACAGGCATGTGAAATTCTTTTTTTAGAAATCATACCCTTTACAGTGAAAATTGTTCACATTTGTTGTCAGAAATCATGATACATTATTTTTTTTATGTAACAATTATGTTAGTGTCAAATTACAGCCCTCAAATTGCTACAATAAGGTATTTTAGCCTTTTTTGGTCATTTAGCATGCACACAGTTAAGATTTTACCTGAAATTTAAATTTTTGTATTATCTAACACTGAAACCAATGAAACTTGTATATTATGACTAGTTTATAGTATAAATATTGTTTTTGGTCAAATTATCTAGTGAGTGTTCATGTTTTATTGTGTTTCTTGGTGAATTATTTATTTCAAGGAAAATTGGTGTATACTTATATAGGAATTCCAAAATCTCACTTGAAATGCATTTTATAACCATTTTAGCAAGTTGTCTAGCTTGGAGATACATAAATTGCTTTGTTGATCCATGTTTATACATAAAAGTATGTTTTTTTTTACCTAATCACTCTCCTTTTCCAACATGTAGAAAAAAGGGGGGACAAAATTATCAATTATATTTTATGTTTGGACCACTGTATTTATATTCAAGGAAGAATCTCTGATAAAAATAAGACATATAGGTAAGAACACTGTTATTTGAGTAGATATTAACAAATCATAACTGGTAAAAATTGAAAAAGTGTCATATCTGTCACTATTAGTATCCATATGTAGTTTTCTTTGTTTAACGCATATGTTACTACCAGTCCAATTTGAGCTTGAATTCAGTGATATAGTGTTTTGACAAAAGCTTTATGTGTTTTTCTATGCTAGAAATAGATCATAGAAGGAAATTAAGTCAAGCAGAAGTCAATATAACAAGTTTGGTGCTGTTATAGGTATAGAACCACTAATTCAGGCCCGGTCGGAAAGAACATACAAGAAAGTAGTACATATTTTAAACAAAATAGTTCCTACGCATAGCTGTATCTTTGTCAATAGTGGGAATATTTGGGTAGTTTTAGTATCAAATGAAAGCTTGGGGACTTGGGGTCACTGTAGAACCCTTGTTGAAAGTTTTATTTGAATAATAAAGAAGTATGGGAAATTTTAATAGGAGGACTCATTTGGCCTGTTGTTCAGATCAGAAGTTCCTGTTTTTGTACTATCAAACTTCCGGGAACCAGTACGCTCTAATATGCAATTAAAGGTATGTTGATTTTTTCAGCACAAGTCAGCATAAGGTACAGTTTTGACATGAAATAACTGCCACTTTATTTGAACTTAAGATAAAGTAGCCATTTATGCTTGAAATTGCAGAATTTAACATAGAAAGCAATGGGGCTATAAATTAGTGGTTTTAGACCAGAAGCACCTCTTTTACAATTATTCTGGAACTTTATAAATTATTTATATGTTTTTTTGTTGTTGGTACATCATTTTATTGACAACTAGACATTCCAGAACAGATGTAGAGTGGGTCTTTAAGAAAATTGAAATATATTTGCCTTTGTATTATTTATTGTTACATTTGATATTTGAAATTTGTATCATATCATTCAGTTTTTTAATTGTATTCAAGATTGAACGAAAAGGCTGAAAGGATTTTTGGTGCTTGATTCTATTTTTAATTGATTGCTAAGCTCTAAAATTAATTTTTAGGAGTACATTTTTTTTTAAACATTTTGGAATTATCTTTAAATTTGTTAAACATTCTTTTTAATCCTGAAACTACTTTATGCATCCAAAGCATGTAGCATTATCATTTGATCTATACCTTATGATTAGTGTTTAAGGGAAACTGTAAATTCAGAAATCTTTTGCATGTTTTATTATTGCAAAAATTGAGAAGGAATAGGTTTTGCATAAAAAAGATCTCTCATTCTAAATTTTGATAGCATTACTATATCAGCATTTTCTTAAATGTTTTAGTCGGGTCTTATTGACTGTGAAAGGTTAATGCAGTGTCAGTTCAGGAATCAAGTCATTTATTTGTAAAAGAAATTAATCATAGTGTTGTAATGCATATGACTAACATTCAGCAACAAACTAGCTCAGTAGTTGAGTATTAATGTTTATAAAGAAAATTATCTGAAAAAGGATGAAATTAAATTTTTAAGGTTTATTATTTGTTTTTTGATAATTAATTCCAGTGCCAAAACTTAGCCATTTCTTTTTTCCTGTCTCTTACAGAATACTAATGCTGTTTTTTTTTTCATTTCTTTTTATTAATTGTCTACACATTCAAATTTCATTGTATGTTAAGTAATACCATTCATTAGAGAAATTAATACCAGTTTGTAGCTTTTATGGAATATAAATACAAGTTAAGCAGCAGAGTCTGCACACAGGTGCCATTTTTAATTTTTTTCAAAATGCATTCACTTCCTTTATATGTGATTAATACATGTACAGTGGATTTATTTTTTTTCGTGGATTGAGGAAAAATTGTATTTTCGTGGATTGAGGAAAAATTGTATTGTCATGGATGTTTGATTTTCATGGTTTTCCTAAAACCTGCATACCGGTACAAACTTAAAGAAATTTGTACTTTGTTAAACATTTAAATTTTTGAATTAAACTCCGTCTGGTGAACCAATGCCTGTGTGAATCATTTCGATTGGGTCCCTGAAGTGGATACCTTGGTATGCAGGGTTGTCAAATTATGCAAATGAATGCAACATTTAAATAATACCCAAAATTGACAACAACACTTCAAATGGTCTGCAATTTTATTTACTATGGTCTACATGTTTCGCCACTATACAAGGCAGGCGTCATCAGGACAATTTACATACAGAAATTATTTACTGAAGTACCCAAACTGGTATCTTGAATTTGACATCACAATGTGTGATGTCAAGGTGAGAGAAACAATGAAAAGTGAAAGTAGCAATAAAGAGTTATAAATAGATAAGATAAATATAGAAATATAAAGTTTGTTTACAATGTAACTTGAGTTTGTTTTACTTTTATATGATACATGACATTGTTCTAAAGGCTTGGTATATAAATAGACGAACTTCCCATGGTTCCTACCATTTTAAATTTTTTGGGATGTGTATCAAAATGTTTAACTTTTTTTATAAGATATGATATCTTGTAACAACAAAATATGGCATTTTTCAGCCTTTATAAAAGATGTTATATGTGAAATATAGAGCTGTTGTATATATAAAACGTCAAATATGAGTAGCAACTGTTTTGAAAGTTTTTCGTTGTATCAACTTGTTTCAACTACCAATCATGAAATAATAATTAGCGAAACCAGAAATGAATTACAATGTATATAAGCATATTAAAAAGGTTATATGTATAAACAGTTTTCAGTTTAAGATTGAATTATATATGTATATAAATGGATCATTATATTTAAGAGACTTGTACTGGTAATTGACCTTTTTTAATATTTACAGTAATTTAGAAAAGAAAGAAATCATAGTTTCTCAGAGACTATTTAAAGAAAATGTTTTCATGTGAAATGAACAAAATGTATGAAATTTTTTTGTATATTATTGCAAAATACGGAATTAGATATACGCTTTGCTATTTCATTTATATATTTGCAGTTGCATGTATATGATCTGCTTTAAAGAATTTAAATATTGTAAATTCAGAAATCTTTTCCAATCTTTTTATTATTACAAAAATTAGTGTTTTAAATTTTGATAGCATTTATATTGGATTGCAGCATTTCCTAAATTTATAATATTTATCTAATATTTGTGTCCATTGGAACAATAGCACTTATAAATGCACGCAAAAATTTCTGAATTTACAATAGTATTTATATATTATGGGGTACAGTTTAGGTTTTATGCTATGTTCAGAATTTGATTATAATTGAGGTTTGGGTTTGTTATGTTTACTATTAAAGTAAGCTACAGTAAGCATTAATTGGAGATGGCTTTGCACAAATGGTATCATCTTATGCTGTCTCAAACGAACATTTTCTCAAAAGAAATAGAAGCTCACAGATCCAATCCTATTGATATTCTTGGTTGTTTCATTTCAATACTCTCAAGAATAAGACCAAATTTTTTGTTTCTAAAAATGTGCTCACGTTTTTTTAATTGTGCTCATTTTGTTTTTCAGGCATTCTCCTGATATTAAATGCCATAAAAACATTGTTATTTCAGTATACTAAAAACAGACTATTTAATTTTATAATGTCTAAAATAGTAGTTGTCTTTGTTTGATAGAAGTTCTAATACCAGAACCGTATGAACTGCCATGTCTACCACTTGAGATTTTTTGTAGCATTATTAGAGATAACATAGAATAATTCTTATATGATTTGAATATTAGGGAATACGTTTATATGGTTGGTCGAGAGGGCTTCTGGTTGTGGCTCTTGAAGTTATTTATTTTCTGATAGACGACGTTGACGGATTTACATATTGTAACCAATGTAAACAAGATGGCGGTGTTAAAAATATTTATTTTCATTTTGCGTTCTTTGTTAAATAATCAACACAAAACATTCATTTGAATGATAATAAGCTATTTTTGTAGTTTATTTTTTTCAGATAGCAAATTTCATGGAGTATATTTTTTTTGCTTTTACAAAAAATATAGTCATGCGCCAGGCCAATTCAATGACACAAATATACAATTTCCATGTTATATAGAGGTAACAAGTAGGGAAATTAAGTTTCTTATCTAAAATTTTAAAGAATTATAAGGATTAAACATATTTTTAAAGGAATTTATTGGTGTATAAACTGGACCAAGTCACTCACAAACATATCAAAGGACTTTTATTTGTTTGTGATTGAATTGGTCCTGTTTATACACCAATAAATTCCTTTAAAAAGGCATTTAATCCTATAATAATCTGGAAATTTGGGGATGTTATATGTGTTGCATATATTTTTGGCAAAAAAGAAAAAGGTTATCTGGTCATTATTTATATTATTTATATTGAGAGTATATCCTACATGTATCATCATAAAACTGGTTCCATTATTATAGGACTGTTACAACATTTGATCTTCTGTCTACAGCATATCACAGCTTTAACCAGTGTGTAAGAATATTTATCAAGAGCTACATTAGTCAGACATATAGTCTTTTAACAATGAACTTGATAATTATGCCCCTTTTCCATGTGGAATTTATATTGTTATTTGTTAAACCCCCTTCAAGAAACCGTAAATGTCAGTTAAATTTTTTTAAGATTACATAAGCATGTTAAGAGCCTTATTTTGTATTAAAAATTTTGTATTTAGAAATCAAATGAATTTTGTGCGTGTGTGATCATTTAAAGCTTAACAGTAATGTTTTTCAAATATTATAAATAGTTTCAAGATTTAATGGTGCATAATTTGTTTTCCAAAACGATAGAAAATGTTTAGTTTTGACAGATATATATATATATAGATATTAATGGCTGGGAAATATATAGGATATACAAAAACCACTTAAATATTTATAAAAAAAGTGTTTTTTATGGAACTACCTTCTTGTTTTATAAATTTTGCATTACCTCAGCTTCAATACAGACATAAATAGAAACTTTTAATTGAAAGTATAGGTTTTAGTGACAAATTATGATAGATAAGGTCCTTATAACACTCTATCCTTCACAATTGTTTCATGTCTCAACTTCACCCTAGTTTGTATCTACATGTCTGACGTGAACATGTTCCAAATTGTAGCTTAAACTCTCATCTTATTTTCTAATAAGCACCAGTTCAAGGAAAAAATGCATATCCTCACACAATATATGCTTTGAATGAACAAAGTTTTTATTTCATCCATTTTTTTTAATTTTAAATTTATTAACAGCATTTTAGTTTATTTATTAAACCAGACAATTACAGATTTAACAGTATTACTAACATCTATGCAAAACGGAATGAAATGAAACATAACGAAAATTTATGGTGCTTAGATTATGTTTTTATGTGTATTTGTGTGTGTGTGTTTTTTTACACAATTTCCATAAGATCATCATGTAAACTATTTCCCATGTGTCAACTTTATTAAGTCTAATCAAATATCATTACAACAAACTAAAGGACCAAATAGACTGTGTGTTTGTTTTTAGTTTTTCTAGAAAAGTCTTTTAAGTGAATGTTTTTAATTTTTTTGTAAAGACATCAGTTTACTGCAGCACATTATGAATTTTAAATATGCTGTCAGATACAAATCATGTAAAAGAAGGTAAATGTGGTACAAAGTTTACAACTAACCAACTTTTCTCAAAATAAGGTTCAATGAATTATACAATTTTTTGTGCATTAACTTTACAAACGTTGAGCAAAGTACCTGATTTTATATATAAATAAGAAGATGTGGTATGAGTGCCAATGAGACAACTCTCCATCCAAGTCACAATGTGTAAAAAGTAAACAATTATAGGTCAAAGTAGGGCCTTCAACGTGGCTCACAAAGAACAGCAAGCTATAAAGGGCCCCAAAATGACTGTTTTATCAGTAAGAAAAAGACACTGTTAAAATATTTGTATACATATTGATAATATAGTACCAAATATTTTCGTATACTTCTTTATGAAATGAAGAAACAGTATAAGTTCATATTTTTGATGGCTGAGCATTTCACAGTAAATTTTTGCATGCTTCAAATCATTTGAATGGCATTTCTTACTTTGCACAAAATGTGCAGTAGACTCTAAATAGGTTTTGAACATGTGAACAGATTTGTTTTAGGATAATAGTGTAATGAATTATTTGGTACTATAATATAAAAGGGTTAATGTAAAAAAATTAAGAAACTTTGTACCCAACATCATATTGGACTCACAAGTTGGTGCAACATGACATTCTAATAGGGATAATATTCCTTGAAAATAGTGCAAAAACCATACAATATAGATATATATTATCTAAGTAACTGGGCATTGTGTTACAGATTGTTATGAATTCAAAATGACAAATTTTAAGACTTGTTTAAATGATAACTTTTTTGTATTTAACTGTTTTACCCCAAGGAGTTTTTTTTTATTAGATGAAAAGGAAGTTTTTTTTTCATTAGAACTGTTAAAACTTCTATAGAAGGTTAAACATACACATTTGAATGTTTATAAGATATTTATGAGTGCTTAAAAATGTTCCAAAGTAAACTATTTGACATCATGTAGACCAATCTAACAATTGTATACAGTATTTTGTTTTAAGAAGAAGTTTTTCATGGATTTCATATCAAGGAGCATTGATTTATATATAATTGAGAGTTTTTTGAGAGATGATATATATTTATTGTAACTTCGTCCTGTCATGCAGGATTAATTATGTCTTTGATTGTGTTCACTGTGCTTTCTGTTTTCAATAAATGGTTATTGTTTTTAACTTAAGAGTTTAATTTTTTACAATCCTCAATAATTAATCTACAGATACTTATATATATATAGTTATCAGCTAGTCCTCTGTCCATCACAAATTTTTGATGTTGGTAAAGAAATTTGGCATGAATAATCACCACTACTAGAAGGTGTGTCTGTTTCAATGATAGCCGGGTTCCAAAGTTATTGTAAAACTGCCTATTCTAGAGGTGGCATGAATCAGATGTGGATACTAAAAAATTCCAAAGATCTTTTAGAGTACATACAATCTAAGACTCTCTCATCTTGCAATAGTATTAAAACATTTGACTTTTCTACACTTTACACAAGTATTCCCCATTCCAAACTTAAAAAGACAAATTGAAAGAGTTGGTATTACTTTGTTTCATTAAAAAGAATGGCGAACGTAGATACAAGTATCTTGTCATGGGGAGGGATAAATCCTACTTTGTAAAGAATCAGTCTGATTCAAACAAAAAATTCTCTGAAACTGGCATTATCAAGATGCTTGATTTCTTGATTGACAACATATTTGTTACGTTTGGAGGACGTGTTTTTCAACAGACTGTCTGAATTCTAATGGGAACCAATTGTGCCCCTCTTCTTGCCGACTTGTTTCTTTATTATTATGAGGCTGACTTCATATAGGAACTTCTTAGGAAGAAAGATAAGAAGTTAGCAATATCCTTTAACTTTACGTTCCGCTATATAGATGATGTTCTCTCACTAAATAATACAAAATTTGGTGACTATGTTGAACGAATCTATCCCATCGAACTAGAGATAAAGAATACTACAGATACAGTTAAGTCTGCCTCATATCTTGACTTACATCTAGAAATTGACAATGAGGGTCGGTTGAAAACAAAACTTTACGACAAAAGAGATGATTTCAGCTCCCCAATTGTGAACTTTCCATTTCTATGTAGCAACATTCCAGCAGCGCCTGCATTACGGAGTATATATCTCACAATTGATACGATATTCCCGGGCTTGTATTTCCTATCATGATTTCCTTGATAGAGGATTGCTGCTCACAAGGAAGCTTTTAAACCAAGAGTTCCAAATGGTGACGTTGAAATCATCCCTTCGTAAATTTTACGGACGCCATCACGAGTTGGTTGACCGTTATGGAATAACCGTTTCACAGATGATATCGGATATGTTCCTTATGTCGTAAATACAATACCCTTCCCTTTTCACGAATGTGACCTACCGAATTAGACTATTTACCGGATTTGTAATAACATAAATAACACGACGGGTGCCATATGTGCAGCAGGATCTGCTTATCCTTCCCGAGCACCTGAGATCACCCCCAGTTTTTGGTGGGGTTCGTATTGCTTAGTCTTTATTTTTCTATGTTGTGTCATCTGTATACTATTATTTGTCTGTTTGTCTTTTTATTTTTGGCCATGGCGTTGTCAGTTTGTTTTCGATCTATGAGTTTGACTGTCCCTCTTGTATCTTTCGTCCCTCTTTTCAAGGAAGAAAACCATATGTTGAAAGTCATGGTCATAAACTTAGTTTAAATTAGCCCCTCCCCACCCCGTGTGCATATATATACGGAAGTCATTGATGGCATATCAAGGAACTTGAATTTATATTTAATTATTTTAAAAAGACTTTGAGAGCTGATATATTTATATGAATAAGGTATTTGATTGTGTTTATTTATTGTGCTTTCTGTTTTAAATAAATGGTTATTGTTTTATCTTGTGGGTTGACTACTGGAGGAGCAATGTACATTTTTTGCGGCTGATATTCTAGAAAGAGAATTCACAAAAGATTAGAAACAATCATTATGTTCTTGTTCGTCTACTCAAACAAACATAAAATATTTATAAATAAAAACCAAACACTATTTGGGATATCAGCTCGCCTGGACAGTACAGTTAAGCAACTTTATTCATTTTATTTACAATGCACCAATGTTTGTTTGCACGTCCTTAGGGGACGACCATTTGATATTCTGGGGGGGGGGGGGGGGGGGGGGGGGGCAGGAGGATTTTGAAAATAAATAACTCAGCCTTGATAATAACAAAAATGAATGGTTTGTTCTGTGGTAGTTGTGGTAGTTGTGTGAAAATAAATAACCTGACCTACAATGTATTGAAAATAAATAACTGGCCAGGTCTTTTAAGCCATTTATAAATGCTATTCAAAAGTATGAAATGACACCAGATTCCTACAAAATTTGTCTTTTTTCATATTTTTTTCGGGAAAAACTTTCCAAATCTTTTATAATGCAATGTATAAATATTATTGTACTTGAAATGTCTGAAAATGGGTTTCATTTAACTAGAGGTATATTAACTCAGGAACATATACCTCACTTTCATAAGTCATAGGGCTGTAACTAAATTGAGGCAAATGCATCAGGTAGGAAATTTCAAAAACAAAAGCTTGTCTTCATATCAAATTGTTTTTACTTCGAATGCATTGCAAGAAGCAAGTTCTGTTCACCCTATGGCATACAGCCCCTGTTTTTCGTGATCCATGTTTCACATTTAATTTTAGTTTTCAGTGTTATTTGTCTATAATGTTTGCCGTTTTGTGTTTTATCTGTTCCAGGGTTTGTCTTTTGTTCATTGATTGCCCTTCTTTATTCTCTTAGTGTTGCATTCCATTTGTAATTTAGAAATTTTTTCAAACTTGAGTTTAATTTTATTTAAGGACTTTTTTTCTAATTTTACAAACTACATGAATTTCAAATTGTATCTCAGTTAGGAACTACATCAAGTTGTAATTGAAATGTCTTATAAAAACTTACCTGACATAGTTATATCAATGATAATCAACCCCTCTTAACTTAATTTGAGAACAAAAACACATAATTGACAGGTATATAAAAAAGATTTTCTGCAAGCCAAAACACTAAAAAAAAAACAAAAAAAAAGCAGCCACATACTTAAGTTTCTGAATTACACTTGTTGCTTTATCCTACATATTGGTCTTTTGATGTTGTCCCTAAAAACTAAAAGTCTAACACTGAATCTATATATTTTGCTTTGAGACCAACATATTGTCTTCTTGTGGCCTTCAGCGGCTCCCAAAACCTTCGCCAAATTTTTTTGCCTCGCTCCGCTCGTCAAATATGTTTGACATTACTTTAAAAAGTGGCTTAGTTACAGCCCCCACTTTAATACCTTGTACGTATGCAATACCTGCAGTTTGGAATTCAGAAGATTCACTTCCACAGGATGATGATTAATTCTGATTAAATGGTACATAATGATTTGACTATACATTTATTATCTATTTAGGAATAAAAAAAATAATTTTAAATTGTGTGTTTTCAAATATTATAAATATAATTGTGAAAAAAATAATCAGTCCCTTGTTTTAATGAAAATGAAAAACCATGCTTCATCAGTGCAGAAAATAGATAATCTCTTCTCCTAGTTCACAAAAATGAATAACTGATCCAAAACAAATCCTCCTGGCCCCCACCAGAATATCAAATGGTCGTCCCCTTAGCCGCTGCTTCAACATAACATTAACCAATACACAATCTACAAAAGAATTATGTTTTGGTACCAATCTTTTCAAGCATGTATAATCTTAAAAACGTCCACTTCAATCATAAGTATGAATACATCAATTTACAACATTGATAAAATATAAGTGAGTGGGTGGGTGGGGTCACAAATGACCAGACTGGACTGTCCGTCGAATACTTACTTACTTACTGCCCATTACGCCCATTGGCGTGTGGGGCAGCAACGAAGTTTCTCCACATCTGTCTGTTTTGTGCCATCTTTTTCAAGCTCCCCCAAGTATGTTGGAAGTATGCCATCTCAGACTCAACTGTGCGCCGCCATGTTATCTTAGGTCGTCCTCTTCGCCTCTTTCCCTCTGGGGTCCAGAACATTGCTGCTTTTGTAAGTTCTTCAGGGCTCTTACGTAGTACATGGCCAATCAATTTCCATCTTCTCCTGCTAATGAGTATGTTGATCTCTTCCTGTTTGCATTTATTGAGGAGGTCCTGGTTGGTTTTTTTTGTGGCCAAAATATCCTCAGGATTCTCCTCAGACTCTTGGTATGGAATGTAGAGAGCTTCTGTTGGTCTGCCTCTGTCATTCGCCAACATTCAGAACCATACAACAGGATAGGTAGTATACAACTGTTGTATAGTTTTAGCTTTGTCCGGATGGTGTATTGACCAGATTTCCATACAGGCTGCAGGTTATTAAAAGCAGCTCTAGCTTTTGACAATCTTTGTTTGATGTCAGTGTTGGCTCCACCGTCTGATCTTACAGTACTTCCTAGGTAAGTGAAGGTATCGGTCTGTGGTAATGGTTTCCCGTTTATTATAATTGGAACTGGGTTGTCAATGTTTAAACTCATTACTTCAGTTTTCTATGTGTTTATTTTCAGACCTATCTGTCCTGTATACTTTTCTATTCGACTGGACTTTTCCTGGATATGTTGGTGAGTGTGCGATAGCATAGCAATATCGTCAGCAAAGTCCAAATCTTCAAGAATGGTGAAAGTTCCCCATCTTATGCCTCTTGGGATATCTGCAGTTGTTTGTCGCATCACCCAGTCGATGGCTATTATAAATAGTGTAGATGACATTATACATCCTTGTCTTACTCCAGTTTTAATTGGGAAATAAAGTTGTTCACTTCCGACTGTACATTTGAAGTTTTCATAAAAAGCCTTGATTAGATGGATCAGGTGTTGTGGGATACCATAAAGTTGTATGATTTTTTAAAGGCTTTCCCTATGAATACTATCAAATGCTGTTTCGAAGTCGATGAAATTGATGTAGAGTTGCCGCTGCCATTCTGTGCATTGTTCAATGATATTTCTCAGGATGAAAATCTGGTCAACGCAGCCTTTTCCCTTGCGGAATCCTGCTTGCTCCTTTCTTAATGAACTGTCGATTGATTCGGATATTCTTTTTATAATAATTTTGGCCATGATCTTGCTAGGAATAGATATAAGAGTGATTCCACGCCAGTTATTGCAGTCATTTAATGCACCCTTTTTAGGTATTCT